TTGCCAACCCCCCCGTGGGCAATTGCATCCTTTTCTTCTTTGGATTCGGCGCAGAGGCATGCCGAATCCACACCGCGGTGCCCCTAGTAGTCAAACATACGCCAGAAGCACTCACAGCAGCCTGGCCCTTTCTCCCTTTGTGTGTCTCTCTGTGTGTCTGCGACCAACGTGAGTTGTTGAGTTGAGACGGGACGTGGGGATACAGGACGGGGAAAGCCCTTGCTTCTGCTTTCCCGCCCTGGCCATCTGTACATACTCCGTACAACGAGCGCGAGGTAAACCTTGCCCATGGCCTTACTGGCCGGTGGTGTGTGCTGTCTCGCCCGGGGTGATTGGACCAGACGACACGCGCTGCGCGCTGGACAAGACAGCTGGGCCGAAATCGTGCGCATGTTGGCTCGAATGTACATACTACGTACTCCGTAGTGAGTCTCCACGGCTGACCCAGACGTGGACCACGGTGCGGGTTGGCCAAGGCCCTGCCTGGGTACGGAGTAGGGGATCGCGATATTCATCGGGCGCCGGAAACACGGGACCAGACGGGTTGCTTATTGAAGGACCTGTTGGGTTGGGCTCCTGCGTCCGTCGGCCCCGACGAGATGAGCCGTTGTATGTGACTCCATGTCTGGCTGCCCAGGGCGAACCTGGACGAGGAGAAACAGCCTGGTTGTGTGGGAGCAGCCGGGGGGGCCCCTGTGCCCAGGCTCGACCAGACGCAATGGAATTCGTCACGGCTGGGTTTCGATCGAGTCAGAAGCAAATCGACCCGATCAACGGGCGATGAGCACCGGCGCAGAGAGATGATCCTTTTTTTCTAAAACAAGGTCGGGAGGTGCAGTGGAGACGGAACAATACCTCCATGTCGAGATAAAGTTGTCCTGATCAGCGGCCAAGGCTGGCATGCCCAAGACAATGAGTTGAGACGGTGGGGACGGGACATGTTGCCTCGCTAGAATCCAAGAAGCCACGCCGTATGTACTACTAACTACGCCCTACTCTGGCACTTGAACGGCGTCTGGTTGTGTGCCGGACGGAATGCCGTCCAGGAGGGTGTGGATGGGGGGAGACAAGATATCTGCCCAGAGCGGCGTTCGCAGCGTGGCCCCGAGACGAAATGCCAATAACTAGTATCTGGCATCCAGTCAGGCAATGGTTTTACCCTGGTGATGCCAAATCTCTACCGTCTCGCGAATTAATTACCTCATCTTGGAGCACCGGCAAGGCTCAAGGGACACCGGTCGGCAGCCGGAAACACCAGACCAGACATCGACCCTTTTACCGAGCGGCCGGCCACATTAGTAGTGCGTACATAGTCTAGCCAGTGCCATCAAGAGAACGCCCCGGAATTGGCCCTAGCGGATGGCGGGAAGCCCCATGGTTCATTGTGTCTCTTGTTTTTCAGCTTTGGGCGGCCCCTTGCATACTTGGCTTGGCTGTGGTGACATCCGATGAAATGCCCATATTACATGCATACATACACTAGTACTCCGTACTCTGTACTGTCGAAAGATTGTTCGAGTTTGGCGATGGATACAATTTCGTATCTTTGGGTTTCTTCCTTGCAGCCAACAAACTACCAACCCGACCGAGGTCAACGCCGTCCCAAGTTCACGGGACCCGGAGCAATTGCAAGCCTCGCTCACATGGCGGCCTGAGTGTGTGCCAGGCACGACTCTTGTTGGACGACGTCAACCAACAAGGACAAAACACTCAAGACCTGTCGCCCAGTTGCCCTGGATGAGTCCAGGACGGCCTCGATGGAACCGCGATACCGGGGCCTTGTTCAATGCGCTACTCTGTACTCCGTACAATCGGCAGAGTTGCTTCTCAAAAGTCACGAGATCAAGATTAGGGGTGGAAAACAGCTCGTCAGACATCAGAACAAATTCGTCAACTAGTAACCAGCGAGACTTTGCCCCAGAACACCTCCCACTCTGCCCGAGGCAACTGTCGCTCTCACAGGGCAGCCGAATGAATGAGCAGAGAGCATGAGTTCATGTCATGACGAGCTGTTCACGTTTCTTTTGCCAAAGAGGAAACAGCCATCGACCCAACATGCTGGTCTCAAATGCATGCAGGCCCTTGCCCCCGACCGCAAGGCGATTTTCTTTTTGCCACACGAAACCGGCTTGTTGGTGAACAACACTTGGCCACGGCAATCATGACGCCTTTGCCTCTTGAATGAGGATTTTCGACCAATGATACACCAGTTGGTGCACGACTTGCCCAAATGGCCAGCTCGTGCCTACAAATGTCTGGTACAGCCTGGTGGCTTGTCCAACCCTGTCCTAGCCACACCAGGGCGATGCAACTCGACCCTTATTTTATACCTCGCGATACGGGATCACCCTGTGATATGACCGATCCTCGTCAGGGTGAGGTGACATCTGCTCCAGCCTGTTTGTGATGTTTGCCGACTCGAGACCGCAGGCGACAATCACCTCGCACATGCATCCAAAACACATGCAGGAACGGCGGAGAAGCAGGGAGCAAAAAGTGGGCAATGGGAAATTGGCAAACATGTCCTGCAGGACAACGGCCTAGAATCCGCTGTCGCAAGTGTGCATGTGCATGTGTGTATGTACAGAGCAAGTTCGCAGACAAGCAGAGTCTGGTTGGCATAACCCCCTGCCCGATCTACATGCGATCTTTGTCCACTAGGAATCCAGACATGCTTGCCATCACTCCGGCTCGCATGTTTAAACTTTTCAGGTGCCGTCACCAGGACCTTGGAGTTTCATGCGCCGCGCGTTATCCGGGAGAAACGGAATAGCTCTCGCACAGAGGGAGGCCCCTCTTGAGATGATGCTTGGAACCTGCCCGGCCGAACCGCTGCTGCCAAGAACCGGACAGTTCGCCTGGGGGAAAATGAAAATGTGTGGCTCTTTGGGCCAGGGTGCATGTTGCCAAGGCGGATGGCCTGGGTTGTGCGGCATCGTGCCTTGTCCCCCGGCGCCAAAGATCAAGGGGGCACGCGGCTTTGCCATCTATCCTTCAATATAAAATGTGCGGAGGGAGCATGCTATCTGCACGTCACCTTGTTTCCTGAAACTACGTTTAAAGTTTATGGCGGACGTCGATCATTGATGCGTTTAAGCTCTGAAGAAACTTGGTCGAATTGCCCATACTTTGTACTTGCATGTGTTTGGTGACTGTACAGAGGGGATTAACCTGGCGTAAGGAAGAACCCCGATGGCCAATGGTTTGTTTCTTTCTAACAGCCATTACACTAGTCCGCCTATTATCTCTATTCTCAAGCTTGGCTGGTCGCCAAGCACAGAGCCTGAAATTCCCTCCATCCAACCTCGGAGGGCGCAGGCCGCAGACGTCGACCCTGCCAGCCCGCGTGCGGCGAGAGTCATCTCCCAGAGATGATTCTGCAGATTTATAACAAGACGACCCCGGCTCGAACAAGAGGATGCCCGTGACAAATACCTTTATACTCCGCATGTTCTGTTTGTTTCCGGGCGCCCCGTAATGAAGCCACGGGCTGAACTTTGACCCTTGTACCACTCCTTGGGGTTGTAGGCCGATATCAAGAGCTCAACTTCAGTGGCACCAGCAGCGATAGCAGGCCTAAATAGCCATCCAACTTATCGACTATGTACGTACTACTTGACGTATGGGGCTTCGGCATTTCGGATGAAGAAGAAACTAACCACTCGAGTTGGCCTTGCGCACAGACTATCGAACATCGGTTAAAGGGGACCAAAGACGGGTAGATGGTGGAATATGAAACAGTTTCTTTTTTATAGTTATAGTAGTAGCAAATCACCCGTCATTCTTTCGCAAAAGGCCTACAATCATACGCTAGGTAGCTTTCCTAGTTCCAATATTGCTTGTTATGGGCTGTAAACTAGCCCGCAACTGTAAATAATCGGTCAATGACTCAATACCTACATATTTGAAACAGTCGGGGTCTAGGACATCGCCGACGTGGAGAGGCTTACCACTTGATACCACCCACTACCCTAGACAATGGTCCGGAATTGCTGCGACGACGGGGACACATGAGGAACAATGATGAGTCGCAGAGACATGTGGTGAGCCGTCTGGTTCATTGTGTCTGGTCTGCATGTTGCATTCATTTAATGCGCGTCCAACTATGTGCGGCTTGCAGCAATCATGGCACACGGGGCAGAAGTACAGCACTCGGCTGTTCAAAGGATGAGCTAAAACGCAAAAAGGACATGAATGGCAAGCCGACGAGACGCGGTTGCTGCTGGGGAAGCATTCGGGAACTAGAAATATATGCCAATTTACTTGCGAAGAGCTGCAGCTGGATGAATCGTTGGCCAGCCATGGCAACCATTGGCAATAATGCCAACATTAGGTCGTATCAATCTCCCTACCTTTACCAGCTTCGCACCCTTGTACCAAGACGATCGGGGGTTCAATCATTTCTTCTTCATCGTTGTTTATCTGCTCTAGTTCCCAGAAGACGAGCGGCATAGACAAGGCGACCGTTGCGTCCCATATGAAGGAGTACCGATGTGTACGAATTTATCTTGTTCACTCGCAGAAGTTTAGTCTACATCACGCGCTACATGTGTCAAGATACAGTTACATAACTCACCAAGAGTGAATTGCAAAGCCTCTCAAGCGGCTCTTGTGCAGCCGGCACCACTCGCCGTCATGGCCATGACAAGGCGCCAGCCGTCGTTTTTGAGAACTGGCGACGGCGAACTCACGAGAGCCTTGCCCAATATTCTGGCAATCTCTTTGCCAACCGCCGTATTGCTGGGGATTTAAACCATCTTCTCAGAAGCATAATTCGCCAAGGCACTCACTCTCTTCATCCACTCCACCAAAGGTCTCATCATGCCGAGCCTACTGTAGATCTCGTTGTAAATGCAATCCAGTCTACTCCAACTGTTTCATTCACCATGGCTACGAATTCAATTGGAAATTTCTCAGGGTGACAATGCAGTCGAAGTGCTGGGTCAGGATCAAGTCGTTCCATGAGGTGTTGCATTCGTCGTAATGCGTGCAAGTCGACCATGGCGATGGCAGTACTCCGTAGACGCTACGGCATTCTTCAAAATTGGCACATGGCCCTGCCAGTGGTCCTCTTCATGGCCGCATCTGGACAAATGTGGCGACAACAGCGTTTAATTCAGTCCAGTCTTCTCCTGGGACATGCCGCGGTGAAACGTGCCCTCTCTCAGCCGGGCCTTGCATCGCGTCCGTGGAACAAGGCATACGGCAGTGAGGCCGGTGTAGATGCCGGGGCCCTCGGAAAGAATGGCGTACCGACCCCCAAGACGAGCCGTCTTCAACTTGGGCTTTGTGTGATGATGATGATGATGATGATGAAGGTCCCAACTTTGGACTCGACTTGTGCTAACTCTAAATGGGCAAGGTGTCGTTCATTGGCCACGGTCCAATGACATGGGCAATCCAATTCAACCAGTTGACCCCACGCGATCCGACACCACCGTCACCACGATAGACGGAATCGCGCGACAGATTCCAAACAGCAAGACAACGGGCTCTGATTGTGGACTGGCCAGTCCATGACTCGAGCCAAAACACTTCGCCGCAACTCAAGCAACATTTGAAGTTTGAGAGACCAAGGGCGCAGAGCAGCGGCCCAAGTCCCCCCCCCCACCGGCAAACCACGTTACCGAAGCCAGCGTCGTCGGATTTCTTCCAGTCAGCCATGGGTCTCCTTTCCAAAACCGTCTTCTCGTCGCTCGTGGCGACCACGAGTCTCGCGGCCTACCTGGCCGCCAAGAACCCCGTCCTCTCGCCCCTCGCGGCGTCCGACCCGATCTGGACGTCGAAGCTGTTCAAGCGATACAACCCGTCCGCCAACCCCGCGACCCAGGACGTGTGCATCAAGCGCCTGCCGCTCGACAGGATCCGACCCGAGCTTCTCAAAAACCCGGGCGATCTCGTCCTAGAATACTGCCGCGGCGTCTGGTCCGGCTACGGTAAGCTTTGGCCGCGCGCGCCTGCACCCGGGACGACCACGGGCTAACATTGGCATCACGCCAGGCTTCGAGGCGCAGCGCCGCTATCTCGAGTGGAAGTACCGCGGGCCCGAGACGAGCGCGCACCTGTGGACGAGGGAGCAGCTCTCCCGGAGCGCGTACGACAAGGGGACCTGCATCGCGGACCACTTCGAGGTTGTGGAAAAGACGGCCACGTCCATCACGGTGCGGTGCGGCGACTCCCCCCGGCACCGGGGCCCGCGAGGCGGCGACGGCCTGTTTGTCATTGGCGCCGTGGTGGACGACGCGCGGGCCGAGGTCGAGCTCACGCTGAAGAGCTGCTTGTTCGCGAGCCAGGGCAAGGTGTTGGGGGCCAAGGGACCGATGCCGCCTTGGATGGAGGAGCTGCATCAGTGGTATGCGCGCATCTGGTCCGAGTCTGGGTCGCGGCGGCTGTTGAAGTGACGATGAGGCGACACATGGGGACGTGCATGACGGGATTTTTTGCATGCTTTGGTACGTACTGTATGAAACGGAGTAATTTGTATTTGACGGCTCAACCGTGTTTGGCAGCCTTGGTGACCGGACCTGCACCGCCCAGTTAGTTTGTCATGTAGGGCACTGCAATGATACTGCTGCGACATGTACCCTTGGTGATGGTGTCTGTCATCGGATGAAACATGTTGGACACCTTGTCTGGAAAGTGATTTGGACTACAGCGCCGTACGGCATACGGCGTATGGACTGATAGTATAAGGGCCTTGGACGGCGCAACACCAGGACAAGAAGCAGGTGGCTGTTGACGGCAAATTGGTGTCTCACCGACTGCCAGATAGCCAATCGTTGGGCCATCCAAGTGTCCAAGTGCCCGTGTGCCACACCGCGTTTTCCGTGCCTTGTTGTTGCACAGCGGGCATATCGGCCTCGCCATGTTCAGAAGGATGTGCTGGCCTGAAGCCTTTGGACTCATGTCGTCCGTTTCCCAGATGGGCTTTGGCAAGTAGCGAACAAGGTCTACCGAGTGCCTATATGCCAGATTGCTCACTGCCGCCGCGTACCAACATCGCCTCCAACCATGTTTGCTCCTGCAGGCACGGGCCGGATCTTGACCAGCCGACAAGCTGAAGAGCTGTGCGTCTGCATCACGATTTGCGACCGACATGTGCACTAAAGCCTCCCTAGGCACAAATCCATCATTGCCTACCTCTCGGCGAACGACAAGCACGTCACATCGGATACGCTCCGCAAGGAGCTTGGCCTCGACGAGAATGTATTCACTGCCGACGTGACCAAGAAGTACGAAAATTTGCTCGAGAAGAAATGGACGAGCACGGTTCGATTGCAAAGAAAGGTAGGTAACTGCGCAGGCGCGCCATCTACCCCCTCGGTCGATATCCAAGCCAGATACATCTAGCAGCTAACCTGCTCCCGTCCATGCCATAGATTATGGATCTTGAATCTCGAAACGCCGCCTTGCAATCGGACATTGACCGCACCATTCAGGCAACCTCGAAGCGACAGGACCCTTCCTGCTGGCTGCCTGAATCGCCGCGATATTCACTGCAGGGCCACCAGGGCGCGATAAATTGCGTCGCTTTCCACCCCAAGTTTTCCTCCCTTGCTTCCGGATCAGACGACTGCACAATCAAAATATGGGACTGGGAATTCGGCGAGCTGGAAAAGACCATCAAGGGCCACACGCAGGCGGTTCGAGGCGTCGACTATGGCGGTCCGCACGGCGGCACTCTTCTTGCGTCGTGTAGTTCCGATCTCACCATCAAGCTCTGGGACCCTGCAGACGACTACAAGAACATCCGCACCCTATACGGCCACGATCACAGCATCTGCTCCGTCCGTTTTGTGCCGTCTAGCCACCTGGAACGGGGCCCTCGACAACTCGCCAGCGCAAGCGGCGATCGCACAATCAAGCTGTGGAATGTCGAAAACGGCCACTGTGTCCATACACTGCGCGGCCACACCGATTGGGTCCGGTCGATATACCCATCTGCCGACGGCCGAATCCTCTTGTCGGCGGGCAACGACCGCACGGCTCGCCTGTGGGATATATCCGCCGCGAGCCCCGAGAGCACGCTGACCCTCGTCGGCCACGCTCTCGGCATCAATTGCTGTGCTCTCGCGCCGGCATCTTCACACCCGTACTTGGCGGCCGTGGCTCCGTCCAAAGCACCAGCCGTGTCCGGCGGTGCGGCCGAGTATATCGCCACCGGTTCTCGCGACAACACCATCAAGATATGGGATGCGCAGGGAACGTGCGTGCGGACGCTGGTCGGCCACGACAGCTGGGTGACTGCGATTGTGTTTCACCCCGGTGGCAGGTATCTGCTTTCCGTGGCTGACGACAAGACCTTGCGGTGCTGGGACTTGGCGCAGGGCCAGTGCGTCAAGGTGTTGGAGGGCATTCACGAGCAATTCATCACTTGTCTGCGGTGGGTTCCGCAAGTGGCAAGCGGCGTGCCTGCGTCTACCGGCGATAGCTTGGGTGCAGCGCCGATGAGTGCAAAAGTGAAGACGGGTGCGGAGGACCAGATTCGCTGCGTTGCTGCGACGGCAAGCATGGACATGACTATTAAAATATTTGCGGGCTGACGGCGCGAAAGGGGTCGTGTTGGGATATAAAGTCGGGTCTAGTTTGCCGTTGAAGTAACTCGGGAATCCTGGTTCATAGGCTACGATTTTTTTATTTTTTTTTTGGAGTATTGCAAGTTGATTGTTTTATGAACACTTCCCCTTTTCTTGATCCTTACATGTGGCCTTGGTTCTTGTTGATGAACCTTTACAAAGTTGTACCTAAAAGAAATATTCACATTTCACTTAGATGGAATCATAGGGCTAGCGATATCGGATCTTTTGTCAAGTGCTTGATTTACTTTATTTACATGGATAGCTGATCTTGGTCCTCATATACCTCGACCATAAGGCCATTGATGGCCATTCGCCGCCGCATCAAGTCATTTTAAGCCTCCACAGCCCGAGTCAAGTAGGCCACAGCTCAGCAGCATCTCGGGCTACTATTTAGAACCGAAACTTGAATTGAAGTGCGAATCGATAGAGGTTGAAAGCGCCCATCGAGAAACCTTTATGTACTGGGGGGAAATTAGTCTACTTTCCCAGACTTTCCCTCCCCTTCCGACTTGTACTCACCCCGATGACCATGCTGCCTCGAACCACAGACAGATGCCAAGTAAAATCTAGGAAAAGTCGTAGGTCTGGTGTATGTCAGCATATCCCTCTCAAAACAAGGCATGGGCAAATCGTACCAGATCGTACCACGAAACGCCCGCGTAGGTAGCCGCGCTCTTGCCATGGTTCTTGAAGCCGAGCTTCTCATAGTAGGGGACAAGCCTTTCGTATGTCAGGATCGAAATCCTCTCGACACCATCTAGTTTCTTTACTTGCTCGATATATTTCCCCATCAGGAGCTTGCCCAGCCCCTGCCTTTGGTAGTCGGGTGAAACGGCGAGGGAGTGAAGCGCGACACTGGTCCCGGACGGCTGATGCCCGGCGTCGGCCACGGCTCTCGGGTTCGTCTTCCAGTCCTTGGGATAGTCCATATCCTGGTCGACTATGAGCGTTGCCCTGGCCTTGGTCGCAATCGTGTGAGCAACCAATATGCCGTCCTTGTCCTGCGCCTCGGCAGACGAGAGGACCCGGACTGTGCCCGGATCGGGCGCCGCCGCATCGGAGTTTCCGAGAAACAGCCCGTAACAAAGCTCCGGGCAGCTAGAAAGCCTGTAGTCAATCTTGATGAATGAGACGTTAATCGCTGGTTCCATGGCTGGGTTCCGTGACCGGGGGCTGCGGTACCTTTTCGTATGTCGCGGCCTCGGACGGCGGAAAGGCGGCAGACTCTAGGGCCGCGCACCGATCCAGATCCAGAGAGGTCAAGGGACGAATGTAGGCCGTCATGGTTGGAGATTTGAAGGACTCGGTGGCGAGTTGCGGGAGGAGGTATGGGCCGCCTTCGCGTGGAGGACTGGCATGTAGGTTTCGAGCCCACGGTTGACGACGATGACACACGGCGACACCAGCACGTCCGAGACCGCACGGATTCCATCCATGGCCAGCTCCGCAAGATCTGGGGAACGGAGCAATGGAATGGTGATGAGCTAGATGAGCCCCACAATGTGAGACTTTTAAGTTCAGACCATGCTCGGGCCGGCTGACGGTGGAAGCTTAAGTGACGATGATGAGGGGCGTGTACTGCGTACACATGTCGACGGTAGTCTAGACGGGAAATCAGCCTAGCTTCCTGATTGTGTCCGGATGAATGTGGGCTTTATCTTATAACGTGGAGGATAAACACCCCAAGCTCGTGAGTCGAGCATCCACCCCCGTGCGGCGTGGAATGTCGCCCTGCAACGTGCAAATTTATGGAGAAGCCGTTGCGAACCAGCCGTCGGGGACATGAAATATCCATGTCTGCATATTGGTTGCTTTGGCGCGGCAAATGCCAACACCCGGACAACCCATGGTCACGAAGCGCTTGAAAGTTTCCATAACAACATCAAGTGTCAACGTCCAGAGCACAGCACAAACGCCGCCATTTAAATATCATGACATGAAACTCCTCAAAAATCACAGTGCAACGTGGCAGTCAATACAGGAACACCCAAATCATCAAGTTCAATGTATCTATCCCCAGAGGCTATTTTAGTGAAGAAGCGAAAACTTTCGAGTGCGACTTAGCTGTTGAGCCCAGTCACAAATTGTAAACACGACGTACGGAAAACCTACGCCCAGTGCCAGTCTCTGAGAGACAACTCTCCACTAAGCGTCGATGGTCCCTCAAAACGATCAAACCACTGATATATGTCGCGCCACTTGGTAACCTCTGCGGTTTTCGACGACCCTTCACAATGGGCTATAAGTTTGAAAGCTAATACCGGAAAAACCATGTATTAGCATCACGCATCTGTTATAAAAAGACGGGGCAAACATACTTGCGACCTCCCATGGATCTGCCCAGTGGCTTGTGCCCTCCCTAGAGTAGACTGCAACTTGTCGAACATCCTTTGGAGACAGCACCGACTTTCCAAAGACACTTTCCAGTTCAATAGTCTTTGTTACGGAGTCACCACGCGAGGGAGATGACATGAGCAGGATATTGCTCGGGGTGAATGCGCTGTCGCTAAAGTCAAGCATAATCTCGTCGTTGGTTCCGGCTCCGCTGCCCTGATACACCCCTTTGCCCAGCTCAAGATATGCCTCGAGCGATTTGAATTTGGTACAGGCATGCGGCTGCCCGGGCGGCATGACGGCGATTGTCTTGGTCTTGTCGTCTGGTGTCTCCCACTGCCAGTCACCAAGACCAACATGGCCGTTGAAATGGGACGACCCATACCCCGGGTTCATGTCGCCGAACCGGTTGAACCAATCGTAGACATTGTCGTATTTCTTGACAACAACTCTCCTCGACGACTCGACGCACGTTCCGTAAATGTAGAGACCTGCTCGGCGCAATGTTAGGCCACGTCGTCTTGCCCTGACGGGCGGGGAACATACCTCCAATCTCCCACGAGTCCGGATTCTTCTGCTCGTCCTGCACCGAGTATAATTGAAACGATTTGACAGCTTCAACAAGGACTTGCTTTGATCCAAAGGCCTTTTCAAGGTCCACCGAGATTGTAGCCTCGTCTCCGTGCGACGGATGTTTCAAGATGGTTTGGTGATTGTGCCCCCCGAACTCGATGACAATGTCGTCGACGGTGCCGGCGCCATCAAAGCCCCAAAGCCCATTTCCCATGGTCAACTTGACCTCGAGGGACTTGAAGTAGTTGCAGGTTTCCACGTCGGTTTGCTCCGATTCTTTGACAGCCTCGCACAGGCCGTCCTGCGCCTGCGCCTGCTGTCTGCAATACACGGACACGGCATTCTCGCAACTTCCTGGTATTTCCGCAGCTTGGTCTTCATCCCGTCCCCAGAGCGATGGACCTACACCTAGATGCGCAGCTATGGTGCGAATCAACGCCGGGCACGGTCCATTCGCCAGATTGCCCTCGCGAATACCATATCTTGCAAGCCTCAAGTCTGCCTCCAGAGACGACAGATACTGCACCACTATCGAGTCCATCGACAGAGCTACACAAAAGATCCATGTCAGCACGGTGTTCCTGTAGAAAATTGCGGATTTCGCTTACGGTTCGTAACAGCAGGCAGGAGCTGAGCCTGTCCCTGTTCCTCTCCCCAGCCAATGAGGCGCCTAAACGACTGTCGTAAATTCGCATCCAGAATGCTCGATGGGCCGGTTAAGAAATGGAGCAGTGCCCGGGTGAAGTGATCGGCAGCCACGCCGTTGAGATAGCGTTGGTCCATTTGCCGCATCTCTGGGACTCCGTAATTTGCCTGCCCAGATATGGCGCCAAACTGGTTCCACGAAGTGTTGAATCGGTCATTGACACTCCAACCAGCCTCGTTAGCTTGTTCACGGTCCTCAACAGACTGATACCTCCGCACCTGCGAGAAGAATACACCATAGGTGGAAAGATGGGACTCTGAGCGTATGGTGTGTGGCCCTAAAGCAAGTTCGACAATCACTGTATCACCATTTGAGAACTGTTCTCCAACAGAGGTTTCCAGTTCCAATCCGAATTCGCCAATGTCTCTTCGGAATGGGTTAGTATTGAAAAGGACGCCCTGTTGTTGAAAATTCTGCCAATCTCTTTGTGGGACCCAGAGGTACGCATTTGCGGGCGCGTCCATGACGACATTGAAGGAGGTGGTGGGTGATGAGGCTGACGAAGATGGCGACGGTGTTGTTGGTACTGCACCAGAGTAACTCGGCCATAGTATCGAGCATAGGCCTACAGCCCAGCTAAGGGAGATCATGGTTGCTGAGACAAAAGGATATCAAGACGTTGCGTTGCAGATATACAAGGTTCTGTGAATTTTCAAGAGACCAGTCTGCTTGGGGGTAGTGAACAGATTATATAGATTGCGGCATCCGGTAACTAATATCAACGACGGCTGGCGTTATGGTCACGGTGCCAGTAGCTTCACATTCAATCTATTGAGCCGCTTACAGATTCTCGCGCTATTGGCTTGGCCGGTTATACCGATACTTCATAATGCAAGGGCCTAGCAGAAAATACAAACATGATGAAGACGCATCGACGTCATACACTTCAATAAGACCCCCTCTTGCTATCATGTCTGAATATTTGAAGCTCATTATAGATGGGTAATGGGACTTTTTACACGGGAAATTGCATGATGTCATTAATTTCCAAGGCTCTCGGGATATATTGGCCGAGATGTTTAGTTCACAATTAGTGATAAACAGAATGTGTGGCATGTAGTTAATAAAGTCCCATATAACATCTATACGCAAAGCCTAGTCGATACAAACTGCTATAGCACTCCTTGTATACCCACGTGGCCCAATCATGCATCTACCACATAATTTGCTTCACCAACGGGACCCCACACGCTCCTCGGTAGCGTAAGCGACATGTATTAGAATGCCAGCTTATACATATATAAGCTCTCATAAGTAGTTACCGCTTGTCGTCTGATTGGCTGCTCGCCGAAACATGGAGCTTCGACAAGCTTTCCGCGGCCCGAGAGATAAGAAGACCTACCCGGCGATCGTGCCAAGATTTACGTATCAGACCATGAGGGAAGCGATGGTCTTGGCATCTATGCTAGCTGGCAAGGCTAGAGTTCTAGTCCTGTCTTCAGAAACGGGACGGTGAGCAGCTTTGTTCCATGGGGTGCGAGCCGCAAAGCCAGGTGTGGCGTCATATAGCAGCGGCCACTATTGCATCAAAGGTATCAATCACTTGGAGTAGGATTTCTGTGAAGTAAGTGAAAAAAAAAATAGCCATGGATATTGCCCTGTGTCTTGTAAGCAGTCTCGGCTCTTCGGCGTTTCGGCTCTTCGACTGAGCGGAAGCCACTTGGTACGATCCCAGCTGCAACAAGGGCCCAGAGGTCATCAGTAGGAGGGTAAGACTGTCAGACGAAACGATATCAAGAATATTCGGCAGAAAAAGACTATGCGAGGCCACCTCACTGCGCCAGGTTGCTGCATGAAGTGTAATTCGTTGTGGCAGAGGTTTCATCGTAGAATGAGACGCTGAATGGCTATGGTTCTGTAGGGAAAGGGAATGCAACAAAGTTGGCATAAGCCAGGATGGCGTTACAAAAAGGTGACCTCGGAGCTTTTGACACCTTGAGGCATGCAGCGTATCATGCCGCCGCCACGCATGGCAGAGGACGGGTTAGATCGGGTCATGATGTTTTTTTGGAGGCTGGAGACTGGCTCAACCGCAATTGTGTTTTAAACAGAATGCCTAATCGTGCCTAATGACTGAAATCGCCGTGACAATACTTTTCTGCGGTCGTATAATGAGGATGGCAAAGCGTGTCGTACATTGCTTGGGATTGCATGCGTAGTCTCCGTATAGGGTAGGGAAGTATAACAGTGAAATCAAGTCGGTCCAGTATAGAGAGCCCAACATGGTAAGGCTTTAAGATACATATGACTGCCATGGTAAGAATGATACAGCTTATATATCGGACTTTGACAACGCCGTCTTGTAAAATTATATAGCCACTCTAGGGAAAATAAGGTATTCAAGGGTCAATATTAGTAAGGCGTATATATAATCGCCATTGTCTTCTTTACCGGGAACCTACCTTGGAAGCTACTGGCAGAGGGTAGAAAGATCCTTTGTCTGTTCAATGATGTGATGACTTGAATGCGTTAATAATATGAATACTCCGACAAAGAAAAAGCATGGCATGAATTGGTTGGAGAATTTGGCAATTGTACTCGATGTATATAATTTTGTCCAAAGCCAGAGGCTAACTTGGTCTTCTCAATACGCCATCCCCCGCACAGCTCGCGTCAATCGTTGCCGACACTCCCCGATGCATCCTGCCACGGCCGGAGATGGATTCGTGGATTCTCCAAAAAAGGCAACCAACATTGAGCCAACGTGCGGCCCGTCGGCCCGTCGCTCCGACATTTGGTCAACTCGGAGCCTTGCTCAAACTCTAAAAACATATACACATCGCACTTGACTCTATTATCTCGCACACACTGCTCTCCCTGAATCACTTATATCTTCCGTTCAACTCTCTTCCGTTCCTCCGTGACTAGTCCAGTCGTAATTCGCCCCCATCACCTCGGACCATCTCACTCTTCCCGTCAGGCATCACGACCCAACCCGCACATCATGACAACCACAACCACCGACACCGTCGCCGAAACCGTGCAAAACATCCCCCTCACTGAAACACCACACGCCGCCACAGTCGACGCTCCTCCACACCCATCACCAGCAGCAACCCTCAAGCTCATCAGCGTCGGATTCTCCTTCTTCGTCGCCGGCGTCAACGACGGCAGCACGGGCGCCCTGCTGCCGTACGTCATACGCGAATACGGCATCAGCACCGCCATCGTGTCCAGCGTGTACGCGCCCCCCCCTTCCCTTCGCGTGCCCTCTCCTCCAGCGCCACTAACCCCGTGCATCTCTCCGCCAGATACGGCGCCAACTTTGCCGGCTGGTTCTCGGCGGCCGTCGCCAACGCCCATCTATGCTCGCATCTAGACCTCGGGGCCATGCTCGCCCTCGGCGCGGCGTGCCAAGTCGCCGCGCATAGCCTGCGCGCGTGGGACCCCCCGTTCGGCCTGTTCGTCACCACCTTCTGGCTCGTGAGCGTCGGCCAGGCCTTCCAGGACACGCACGGGAACACGCTGGCGGCGGGCGTCGCCGGCGCGCACCGCTGGCTCGCCGCCATCCACGCCGCCTACATGGCTGGGTGTCTTGCCGGGCCCTTTGCCGCCACGGCCGTGGCCGCCGCGCCGCGTCGCGGTGGCACCTCTTCTACGCGTTCCCGCTGGCCGTGGGCGTCGCCAACCTGGCCCTGGTGCTGGTTGCCTTTCGCGACTCGCTGCGGCTCAGGGCGGACCGGGACCGGGACCGGGGCACGCGGCCGTCGAGAAGCGGCGAGGGGCGGGCTCATCCGCGCGACTGCCGCCACGCCGAGCGTGTGGTTTCTGTGCGCCTTCTTCTTCTTCTACCTGGGCTCGGTGCTGACGGCCGGCGGCTGGGTGGTCGAGTATCTCGTCGACGTGCGCCGCGGTAGCCTTTCGCAGGTGGGATACGTTCCGGCCGGCTTCAGCGGCGGCGCGCTGCTGGGCCGGCTGTTGCTCGCGGAGCCCACGCACCGGTTTGGCGAGCGCGGCATGGTCTTTGTCTATTGCCTGCTTTCTACGGGCCTCCAACTTGTCTTTTGGCTGTGAGTTGCCCTGATTTACCCGTCTCGGTCTTCTACTGCTTGTCCCTTTGGCGTAGCCAACCGGGATGCTTTGAATCACCGACTCTGTGTCTTTTTCTCCTTCTCCAGTCTATTTTGAATTCCTTTACTACTTTTCTCCCTCACATTTCTAACCATCACACCACCCGCCGCCCAGTGTACCAAACATCATTGCTGCCTCCATCGCCGTAAGCTTCATCGGCTTCTTCACCGGCCCGCTCTTCGCAACAGTAAGTGAGCCGTCCCCATCTCATCCACGGCGTAACAAACAGCCTCTACGCCGCTGATACACGGGACCCTGCCCTAATCCAAATCCTCGCAGGGAATATCACTCGGGTCCAAGCTTTTCCCTGCGCATATACACTCCACGGCGCTGGCGCTGGTGTTTGTCTCTGCCCAAATGGGCGGCTCATTGTTCCCCGTCATCACGGGCGTCGTGTCATCCAACGCCGGAGTACAAGTGTTGCAGCCCATCCTGGTCGGGCTGCTCGCCGCCACCGCCCTCAGCTGGCTCTGTGTCCCTCGACCGAAGGACTCTGCACACGCAGGGCTGCACCAAGAGTAGCACCACCCTCTCTTTGCTGCGCGGCCCGCGTCTCTCTCCGGGTATACGTGCCCGGGAGTCGTGTGTACGTCTCTGCTTCGGATGCTTCTTTTAGAAACTCAAGCTATTCACTATTCTTGAACCTCCCGTGTTTGTTCCACGGTTGTGGTTTGTAGTCCCGCCCGTCAATCTTCATTACAGTCTTCCTGAATCATGCCGTCCCAACAACTCCAAGACACTTTGGGGAATGAAGCAACTGACCTGCCTCGATAGGCAGAGAACAAATACGCACGACGAACCAGCAACACCAGCACACGTACATCCAAGGTCCCTCAGATAAATCGTACATACCAGTAGGGGCGCTCGCCCTCATCCAAAGGACAGGGTTTCGCCACGCTTACCCTCATATGTACCGTGGAAACAACCCCCCACTGACGCGAATACATTCCTAGGCAAATGTCCGCTTCCATGAGACAGGCGTCTATTTGCCTTGCAAACTGTGTGACAGCACACACCTTGGTTAGCTTTGATATGCATCAGCTGGCGCGAGTGAGACGTCATGAAACGGAAGCCCCGTACAATACGGTGTACATGGTGTCCATTGTATCAGGCATGCCCAGCGATTATACAACAAATTCAAAGGGATACATCTCATTCCAAAGCGGATGCACAATTGTTATTCTACATTTCATAAATGATCATCTGTACTCGTTGTATTCAAGGTGTAAAATGTAACAAAAGAACGAGCCTTGGTTCGGCCAGGGTATCTACGTCGCCAGTAAAGATGCAGTACGCTCGAAATATTAACATGACAATCTTCCCAACGCCATAAGATGAAACGTACCCCCTCATGCCTGTGTCATTCAAAAATGCAAACTGCCTCGTCCCCTTCCCTTGTATAGCCCAACCTCCCAGATAAAGCCAAAAAGTTGAGTGTATTAGCCAATACTTTATATGTTGCCATTACTGTGCTGTGGCAATGGGTGCAGCTCTACTCCTGCAGGATTTCTGTCAAGGATTCGCGATCAATAGTCTCGGTCGTGACCTGCGCTGGAGCTCCTTTACGCTTTTGTAAGGCCCAATATTGCTGGAATCCAGGGATTGCGCCGGGTTGGTTGATCCCAGGGGATCGATGCGATTCCTTGTCCCTCTCTGTAGCCTTGTTCTCGGGTTTCAACACAGGAGATGAGCCTGGACTAGGACTGCTACCGCCCCAAGGACGCCATCCTACCCATTTGCCCAGCTTGCCTTGTGGTGTAGCCGGACTACTAGACAATCGTGCAGCATTCGGACTCGAGTTCGCCCTTGGGGTCTGAAATCCAGCAAAATGGTCTCGTAATGTGGCGTCACTGCGTTTCGATGGCGTTTTTGAAAGAGTAGGTCGGGCAATAACGCCCGTGACGACGGCTTCAACACCACCCAGGGGCCGCAGGGTCATTTGGCTGGGTCTCGATTTCAAAGTATGAATGTCAAGGCCGCCTGATAGGGACATGATGGACTCGTGTGATGTCACGCGATGCAACCGAGGGCGTGGCATCATCTCATCGGCACGATGATCCGTATCCGAGGCAAGGGATGAGCCCTCTGTAGGCGTTGCAGTCTCCAACGTAAGCGATGGCGGCTTTGTCGGTATATTAAGTGGGGGAAGACTGGGCTCCTCCTCGTCTTCTTCTTCAATAGTCTCTTCGGTGTAGCGCGGATAATTTGCTGGGCCACAGGGAGGCGTGTCTGGTACAGAGTCCATCAGTGACATTGCAAGTGACTGGAAGCTGACCGTTGAGGAGACGGATGGTCTCTTGGAATGGGCAGCGCGCCAGGTCGGGGACATGGGATCAAAACTAGTTGTTGGAGATGTGGGTGGGTCCGAATCGGTGAAGGTAGAGTCAAAGACTCGGTTCTGCTGTATTTGTGGCGAGCTTGGTAGTGATGACGAGAATTCAGACGCGGCTCGAGAGTGGCCACCCCAGGCCCGAGTAGGTTTCGACATGGTAGGTGTTGTCTCGCCCGCAGGAACGCGGGAGAGCAGAGCAGGGGCAGTCGGAGACGACGTGAGGGCCCCCCAGTTGCCCGAGTTTCGCGGCGATGATGGGGCCGACACAGCTGGCGGTGTGAAAATGCCAGGAAGAAGTCCCTGTCGCTTCTTTTTAGGTTTCCGGGGTTCGTGCTTCGGTGATACGTGGTAGTGGTGATGGATGTGCAGTTCCTGGGAAGCAGGCGGTGCTTCAAGTAAAGGCTCTAGCTCCGCCCTCAGTGTTGATGCTCTGCTGGAGTCAGGGGGCATCGGTTGATGGTGAACGAGCTGGTCCCGTAACGACTGGATCTCGTCATTTGAGTTGATGAGCATTTCCCGCAACTCGGCCATTCCAAGCTGCAAGTTGGCATTGTCCTGTAACAGATCTCGGACGAAGTGGCCCACAATCTTACCGCCATTCTTATGTTCCTGTAGAGATTTGGAAGCAGCAGCACCCTTAAGCCGCCCGGCAGCCGTGTCGAGCTGTTTCTCGATTTCGCGCTGCCGCTCCATTCTCTCAATGACTTCAGAATGACGTTCGCGTTCCTGACGGGCCTCATCTTCGATACGATCCAGCTGATCCTGCATATCTAGGATGCCGCGTTGCGCTTCCTTGAAGCGCTGAGCGTGGGACCTAGCATCCTCCTTGGAGCTGCGGAGTTCGTTGAGCAGTTTCTCCTGCTCGTCCTCGAGGAAGGCGAGATGGCGCTCAACGTCAGCAGCGCGGCCGGCAGAAGATTCGAGTAGACGGACGGTTTGTTGCGAGGATAGAAGACTGGACTCGAGACTTTTGATCTTGACATCGGAATCGGTCAGGGTGTTATTGAGGGCTTCTAGTTGTTCGAGCAAGTCCCGGTTTTGGTTGATCTTGCTCTCATTTTCGGCCTCGAGCCCGCGCTTGTCCATCTCCAATTTCTCTATACGGGCATTAAGTTCGACTCGCTCTCGCTCGGCATCGGCCATGTAGGCTTCATGCCGTGCTAATAAAGCCTGCAGGGCAAATATCAGTGACGAAGTCATGGAATTGTCAAGACACAAAGAGCCATGCTGGCAAGCGGAAAACAAAAAAAAAACACCCACGAGATTTAGTGAGGCAGACAAGAAAGGACATGAAAGGATGGTGAAACCATTGTTTGCAAATGAGTGCTATAAGTGTCCAGGCGCGTTGTTGTTGTTTTCTTGCTTGTCCAAGTCAAACAGGGGGGAAGGCGGTTCATCATGGAACGCAGAGGACGATCGGAATGCTCCAAGTCGGCCAAGACGAGACCGGCCTCCACACCTCCCGTCAGGCGCGCAGCTCGCGTGTCTTGGGACGGGTAAAAAAGAAAGAAAAGCAAAAAAAAAAAAAAGCTGGGGCAAGAGGCAGCTAGCAAGGTCGAGGGTAGCACAAGCCCCAGACGTACAAACGTCAACGTACCTGACCGAGTTGAGCAGCGATGTGGACATCTTTTTCGACGGATTCGAGGATTGAGCAGTTGCGGCGCAAAAGCAGGCACTCGTCGCTCCCGCAGCAGCAGTGAAGGGTCGAAGATGCATCCCGACAACGCTCGCGCGGGCGGGCGCCCAGATCGGGGGTCGCGGCTCGAGATCGAGAAGCCATGATCTCTCGCATCAGCGACGCCGAGGCTGGGCGTCGTCAGATGAAGTCGACGGCAGACAAAATGATGCGGTCGCGATCACCATGGTCCAGGGCCGAAAGGGAATCAGACCCGCAGCTGGAAGTGTCTGGACGCGAGTGGACGTTAAAAAAGGCCAGATACGGGCGAGGGCTGCGCCGACAGGACGAAGCTGCTGGCGATAGCAAGTCAAACAGTTGGTCTCGAATAATTTTTGCGTGTCGAAGTGTCCGTCAAGTGGGTTTTGCCCACTGCCGTGCCGAGGAGGAATGGAGGGGAAATGAGCGCGGCAATGCAGGGGAGGAATACAGGACAAGTAAGCGTCGATAGGGCCAAAGAAAAAAAACCACTAAAATAGGAGATATGGCAAGGCGCTCCTGGCGGCCAAAGATATGCAATGATATTAGGTCAAGTGGATGAGAGGTTGGACGCGGATGTCAGGACGCATCTCGGACATTTAGAGTCACGAGCTTGAGTGGAGTGAAGGTTGGGCGCCAGAGTGGGCGAGTGGATAATCTGGACTCGCACTAGACATCAAGACATATGCAGGGTGGGGTTCCAACATGTTGGCATTGAACCACGGACATGAAGGTGATTAATCGACCCAAGAGTCGAGATTCAACAACAATTGAACCGTCCAAGGTGCTATCTGCGTCGACCAAGGACGGCAAGATCCAGAGCAGGGCAAAATAGCACCAGACAGACATGAACAGCACATGAACACATGCAGCACACGAACAGCACGGCCATGGCCAACCAGTCTTCCTTCCTCTCCTCTTCGTCCCAACTCCCGGCACACACCACCACTTGACGCCGCCACATTCTTTTTTACTTCGCGCCTCGTCCCGTCATGCATGCCGCTTGTCTCGTTTTAAACGTTCCCAACCGGCCGTGTGGAACAAAACGCGAACGAGCGGCGGGTCTTGTTCCCATTCGACATGTCCCGATGTCCAGAAGTGTGGCAGACCCGACCGCCAAGTGGATAAAAATGGATAAATCCCATCCAAGCCAAGTCCAAGCAATATTAAACGGGCATGTTTGGACTTTTCATCCACGTTTGCGCATCGCTCAAGACGCGGCCACCATGTGATGCGTCACCACGGCCATGATGAAGGGAACACGGTCTAGCAACATGGAAGCCACAACGTGCCCGTTCGCGGGGTTTCAGTCACACGGAATGCGTTTCACCGACTCTACCGAGCATTGCATAAAGAAACGGGGTACCTATGAGAGCACGTCATGCCCTGCAATCTCTCACCGGCTTCAATCTTGTTTCTTCGTCCCTCTTGACAACATCCACAACCCGGGGGAGGGGAACAGACTCCGAACAGCCCATGATCGGTGCCACCGACCGTGGCACACCATCACTTTGCTGCAAAGGACGGTATTGAATCATTCATTCGTCCATCCGCTCCATGAACCAAGTGAATTTTTATTGGAGCTCCTGTTCTGTGCGTGCTTGCCAGACTCCGGACCAAGCCACTCCGCCACCCGACCGCCTCGCCTCCCTAGATTCGCTCGACTATGTGTGAAAACCCGCGAGAATCAACTGTATCGTCGCGTGCCAAATAGAATATGTGGTTGAAGCCATTAGCCGTCACAACAGCTATCTGATTGTCCCCAACTGGCGGGCTGTCTCGTACGATCTGGGAGGAACCCCATTGTCCGCTGCTCTTGGTCACTCGTCGCGCATTATCCAACTTGTCAGCGTAATACAAGTAAGCTGTGTCCTGGTAGTTCGTCACAGCAATGGACGTGCCGGCCTTTGCATCGCTCGTGCTGACAATGTCGTGGGCTGGCAGGAAAACGGTTACCATGGAGCCGGGTAGAGAATGTGCATCGTCCAACACGAGAACTTACTTGTCCGGTCTATTAGACTCAACTCTTTCAGACGCCCGTATTTTGTTTCTTGATAGACAACAAAGCGCTCATCACTTGCCGGCTCATACCAAGCGCCAAGCGAGCTATTGAGCGCAACGTCGCCCCCGTCCATGTAAGACGTAACATTGCCATTTGAGAAGCTGAATTCCTTTAACTTCACTTTATCCTTGGTACCACTGTAGAATTAAAGGCGGGAAAAGTCAGCATTCATCCAATCCATTTTCTCGGTTAACGAGGGGGGGCACTCTGCATTGGGCAGCGTTAGCAAAATGCCCTTCGACCAAGCTAATATTTTATAGGCAGGATCAACAGCTCTGTCTGACACATACGACCATAGCCGCTAGCAAAGCTTAGGATCCCGTCTGATCTCCCTTAATAACCTGGCGAGCGCTGGATTAGTAGTTGGGTCGGTGACGACCAGCGAATACCCAGTGTTGTATGTTATTTTTTTCCCTAAATTTTTTTTTTGTTTTTTGGCCTTACTTACTCTAGAAAGTATACCCATGCGGATGTGTCAGAGTTGGAGACTGCCACCTTTTTGTTTTCCAACGTATTGGAAGCAAGCCCCTGGTATACAGGGGAAACGATGGAAATCTGGTTAGTGGCTGGGCGACCTTCAACTGTTCTCGGTACGGTGGCGGCAACCACGACGCGGAAACCGCGAAATGAACCCGAGGCTAGCTGTGACGGCTGTGCAATAAAGCCTTTATAATCACTCGCACTGGGCCCAAAACTTTTCCCGACTGGGTCCGGGCCATCATTGCTGTTCTTCAAGGCAACCGTAAGTTGTGCCATGGAGGTGTTGGAGAAGAGACTAATGCTTGTTTCATCCGGCATGGCCGGGTCAAATAAGGCAGTGACAGCTGTCATGATGACTTTGGGCTGGGATGCAAATGTAGGATAACACTGGAAAATGGTATTCGGACAAGATGGCATGTGCTACATGCGGATGATCGGACATCTTGGACCAGTGGGTAACTCCTGGGCTTATATATTCCTCGCCAGCTTAATTTTTCTCACCGGAACATGGCTAATCTAACTGATAATTTTCCCCGGTGCCGCCAAAAGAACGCCGAGACTCTGCAAGATGTTGCCTTGCATCGGTCAGCGCTGTTTTCTGTGCCGCTGGTGCAGCTCTCAGCCGCTTGCTAGTACTTGGCAAGCGATTTGGCTTGTGAGGTGACCACATCATGTCGCACCTTGTCAGACATCTGCATCCAAATATGTTTAGTAGTTGGCGTCTCAAGATTCATTGGATGCATTTTCTGCAATGTGTTTACCAATCGCCCCCCGATCGAGCAAGCTGCTTGGTAATGTCTGTAGATGCTACTTATCAGGGGGCCACTTTGCGCGTCTTGCTTGCTGAGACGTGCGTCACTAGTGAGCAAATATTCCTTTTTTCTCAGTGTCTTTCCCTATAACGAAGAGTCTAGCCCAGAAAAGGTGGACAAGCTTTCGCTTATTATCACCACACAAGCCTGCCATTGGTGTTGTTGCAATTCATGATTACCCAATCCGTATTGTGCTTTTGTAACTGCATGCTGTATGCTCATGTATGTAGGAGCACACGAGCGGCAAAGCCTCTTTTTATAAAAGCGGTCAAGATGGATTAGATTCTAGATTGGCTGAAGACACTGCGATGAAACATCGGTGAGGATGTGTCACTATTTGAAGGGATTCCTGACTTGTTATAGGGATGGTAACATCAGAGGCGTCCCTTACAGAGAGCCTTTCGTGGAGGGCACTTAGTAGAGAGCAGACTCGACGAGCAGCTCTACCTAATAAACTTACCCATTGCCCACGGTTCAAAAAGCCACGCATAATGGTTGGGATATCATGGCCAATGAAGCAAGCGGGGTCCTAGGACAATATGGGATCGACAGGTAGGTACAGTGTCTTAAAGCCTTTGTCGATTATACTGACAAGTGCAATATTTGCATCCCCCCTTCTCAACATTTACAGTTCGGTTTCTTGGAAGTCGTAGCTATTTGCAGGTGGTGTACGGTGGCTGGCTGAGTATTTACACTCCGTTTAAAATTGACGCAAGTACACTAGACGTAGTTTGTGGTGATTACATGCAAAAGGCTATAGAGAACGAAATAATCTGGTCACGATACTATCCTCATTTATTTGCTAGCATTAAATGTGGTGGGACGTCACCGTTGGCGTTGTGCATTCAGGCTCAACAGCACAATTATTGAGTGCTGCCCAGAAGAACTGCCCCCGTTCAACATGCTTCAGGTATTCGAGTAACGTGGGTGATCCGGTCCCGAATCACGCTTTTATTCAAAACGTGCATTTGTTAATTCCACAGCCATTACATGGAGGATGCCATTATGGTAGACTTGTAGCAAGCATCATTACCAAGTCAGAAAGAAAGTGTACACGTGATGCCAGCGCAAAGAGATGTCCCAAAAGCTATGACAAAGAATGATTACTGGAATTTGGATACGGCAAGTTTTGCCATGTGCCAAGAGAGGTTGGTTGTCATATCGTATGCATATCGTCATGGCTGACTTTGAGATGAGTGTTGCGCACATTACGGCAAGTCCTACCCTAAGGTGACAAGTAATTACAGCTATCAACCGTCTCATCGACGTAGTAGAGGGCAATAAAAGTGTCCCTAGCTCTCAGGTAAAGTAACGTAAAGACATTTTCTCCCTTTCAAGTCGCTGGCATTGGTATCTTTTCGAGCTTGCTGTATTAAATGCTCTGCGTTCTGGATCACGCCCGTACGCAAATCCTGGCCGAATAATCGAGTCGGCTGGGGTAACTGCGGGGTGGCCTAGGGTAAAAGCAAAAGTGGTGAAATTAAGGTGTCGTTGAGGTTAAGTATTCAATTCATTTCGCTCGAGGTTGGCTCTTAGCTTGTGGTTGCAGGCGAGCTTGATGTTGCTTTGCTATTGGCTGTATGAAAATGCCAATAAGGAGCTGTGCAGCCATCGATGCGTCTTTTGGATGGCTGGGATCAATTGGTCGATATCGTACGGAGTATTGACTACTTGCCCGCAAATGACATCACTGGACGGTAGCTCCTTCCCCGCTAAGCCGCCATCCCAGACATCTGGACCACCCACGTTGCGCAGCCAGTCAGCATCACGCCATTGTCATCACATCGTGAATGAGGGCCCATGCTCCGCCGGCATCTGCTTTTGAAACTCGATGACGAAGCTCAAGATGCACCAATGGCGCCGCACGCCGTCATGGCCCGACTTGGAGCTGTTATCGGCAACGACTCTGGAAGCGTAGAGCGCCCGCTTAAGCCGCTCTCGCCCTGATGCCTCCTCCCAAGTTCCATGCCCGTCACCTCCCGTCCCGTCTGAGTTTTGGTCGCAGAATCATATCCTTTTCACCGCCAGATTGACACTTCCATTTTACCTACATCCATTTCCGTCGTCAATTGCTTAAATTGGTTGTTACAACACAACCAACACGCTTCCTCATTCTCCTCACCATCTCAAGCGCATCTCCAGACGCCCTCGTACATGTTACGCAGCAATCCCCGCATTATCGCTCTGCTCTGTTCTAGTCGCGCCCTTTTCAACACCCCAAACACACCAACACTACACTTCTCGACCTTGCCTCGAGCCATGGCCCAGGAATTCAAGCTCAAGGACTTGACCTCCCTCTCCTTGTCGCCCGGCTCCAAGCAGGAGGTCGAGGTTGACGGCGTGGAGGGCGGCAAGGTCCTACTAGTCAACACGGGAGGCAGGATTCAAGCAATGGGCGCCAAATGCACACACTACGGTGCACCCCTTGCCAAGGGCGTCCTTACTGCTGATGGGCGCGTCAAATGTCCATGGCATGGTGGTAGGTAACCTCCCGCTGATCAAATCGACACCGCTCGGTATCATGTGTATTAATCGTCTCTGTCATCCGTTGCACGGAGTAGCCTGTTTCAACACAAGCACCGGTGACGTCGAAGAAGCTCCCGCCCTCGACGCCCTGCCTGTTTTCAAGGTCACCGAGCGCAATGGCGCCGTCTATATCACTGGCGACGAATCCGCAATCAAAAATTCTCGAAGACAGCCCAACCTTAGCTGCGTCGGTGCTTCTGCTGCAGACGAAAAGGTAGTCATCGTTGGCGGAGGGTCTGGTGCACTAGGCGCTGTTGAAGGCTTGCGCGAGAAGGGCTTCACTGGTGGCATTACTGTCATCTCCAACGAGGGCTATTATCCCATCGATCGACCCAAACTGAGCAAGGCTCTCATGACTGACCTCTCCAAGCTGCAATGGAGAGACAAAGGCTGGTTCGATAGCGGCAACGTCGAGTGGGTGGACGGAGAAGCTACTGCCGTCAACTTTGGAGAGCGCAAGGTTACCACCAAGAACGGCCAAAATATTTCCTACACGAAATTGATCCTTGCCACTGGAGGAATCGCTCGAACATTACCCCTTAACGGATTCCGCGTGCTCGGCAACATTTTTACGTTGCGAAATGTACATGATGTCAAAGCCATTGTCGATGCTATTGGCGACAAGGGCAAGAAGGTTGTCATTGTTGGCGCATCCTTCATCGGCATGGAAGTAGCCAATGCCATCTGCAAGGACAACACTGTCACGGTCGCAGACATGTCCAAGGTTCCCTTAGAGCGTGTCCTTGGCGAAAAGGTTGGTGCCGGTATACAAAAGGCGGTTGAAGCCAAGGGTGTCAAGTTCCACTTGGGAGGCGGCATTGAGAGGGCAGAGCCATCCGCGTCGAATCCGTCCAAAGTTGGTGCCGTCATTCTTCAAGACGGCACAAAACTAGAAGCCGACCTCGTTATCCTGGGAGTCGGTGTCATGCCTGCCACAGACTATCTGCGAGACAACTCTGTCCTACGCCTCGAGAAGGATGGATCAGTCCAGACGGATGAGAATTTCCAGGTCTCTGGCCTCAAGGATGTCTACGCAATTGGAGACATTGCCACGCACCCATATTCAGGACCCGGAGGCGAGGGCAAGCTAGTGCGTATTGAACACTGGAATGTCGCCCAGAACTCGGGCCGCCATGTTGCCAACCACATTGTGAACCCAACTCAGAACCGACCCCTGAATATTCCCATTTTCTGGTCCGCACTGGGTGCTCAGATGCGGTATTGCGGAAACACTGCCAATGGATGGGACGACGTGATTGTTGACGGCGATCCGGCCGAGGCCAAGTTTGTCGCCTACTACACCAAGGGCGAGACGGTCGTGGCCATGGCTAGTATGGGGAGGGATCCGCTCATGTCGCAGAGCTCTGAGCTGATGAGGCTGAATAAGATGCCATCCAAGAAGCACATTCAAGATGGCGTGGATGTCATGTCTGTTGCAGCTTGATGGGTGGAACGTTAATTTGTTATGACTGTACGTATGTGTCTAGTGCGAATGATGACTAGTTACGCCATGTATTGGCAGTCCGCTTGATTCTGATGGAGGAACATGTAGGAGGTCTCCCGTACAAGATTGTGCTACTCCTCAAACATGGTAACAAGATTCGCAATGCTCTTGTGTCCTTTTCCACGATTCCCACCACCCGCATGATTCTTACCCGTGTCTGTTGAATATAAATAGGCTCTGACCCAACCTATAAACTGGAATTACCTGCCGGTATACCCCACGACACAGCCTATATCCCACATTACTCTCACACGCTCCCTCGACACTCTCCCAGCATCTATTATTATCTGAGACCACATGGATCTTGCCTCAAGAACAGTTGGCCCGACTTGTACAAAATCTCAATATAGACAAGCAAGGCTCCTCAACGCCCTATACAGTGACGACTCAGATCCTGCAAATGCGACAGCAAGCCGAATTCCGCGAGGAAACCCCAGTCCACGCCATCCAGCTGGCCCATGGAAGCATCAACTGCCCCGCCGTCCATCAACACCGCCTCGCAGCCCGGG